CATTGGCAAATAAAACAAACTAAAGAGCAGAAGGGCTTAGAAGTGAGTACGGTCATAGTTTTTCGATATTTTAGAATGATTGAAACCCCTCCGGAGTGTCAACTCAGTGAAATACGGAAAATGAAAGTGACAATTATTACGCGTTTCGTCCGTCCATCCACCCCCTCCCCTCCCCCGCTACAGGGGAAATGTTTTAGTCAGTGGAGTGTGTTTGATAATTGCAAGAATGATTTGGTCTTTTTAACCTTTGTTAGTGTATTTCCATTTATATTCTCAGACACTATATTTTTTAGTTGTTTGCTTTGCTCAATTACAAGTTAGAAAATATATTAATACATTCTATGAGTACAAACCAGATGCTAATCTTGCCAAAATAAATAGTCTTTGCTGACTCCTGGCACTGATTCTGGGAAAAGGCTTCATTGCAATGCTGTGAGTTTACTATAGTACTAACCTTAAAGAAAACCATATGATGAGTGAGTGTAGCGCATTCAAGGTTTGACATTGACATCAGATTCAATGAGACGATTCACTGACTTGGTCATATGATTTCATGAGACGATTCTTTTAACTTAATCATACATTGTCTGCGACAACTGGTAATTTGTGTTGGTCATGGTTTGAGTTGGCTTTTTTTTAAATTTACTCAGAATGTTAGGTAAATACTTTTGCTAAACTGTTTCAAAGATTAAATAACACACCATGACTATCATTATGAATAAGCTAAACTTGCGTTTAGCAATAAGTGGCCTCGACATTGGATTCTATGAAACGATTCATCGGATCTGACAGAAGGTCTTCTCCGTAAAGTAGTTGAAATCAGCCTGCCTGTAAATATGTCTCTTTTTAATTAATGCAGATAAATCAATATAGTTTAATCCACTAGTTTAAACTAAAAGGGAGAAAGGCTTTTTAGGTATTACTAATATTATTGCGTATTCATAAGTTCAGTAACAATGAGATATCGAATGGTAATTGAAGTATTTGTGAATCGTATTAAGCAATTCAATGCTGGCTGTTAAATGTTACTGGACTGAGTAACAGGGTCAGGGTTCATGGCATGACACCATGAACAGGAAACGCTCTTAAAAAACCTAACAACTGAAGACCCATACTTTCAACTGGAATTACATGATTTAGGACCAAAAAAATTTCCTCGGTGTTTCATTGCTTCCTGCAGTATTTGGTGTGCTGATCACAAAAATGACTTCCAATTTCATCTCAGACCTTTACTTTTCCAAATATTTACCAATTTCCGTCCAAAATTTTTACATCGAGTTTTACATAGTTTCCTGCAGTTTTTGGTGTGCTGATCACGAAAATGACTTCCAATTTCATCTCAGACCTTTACTTTTCCAAATATTTACCAATTTCCGACCAAAATTTTTACATCGAGTTTTACATAGTTTCCTGCAGTTTTTGGTGTGCTGATCACGAAAATGACTTCCAATTTCATCTCAGACCTTTACTTTTCCAAATATTTACCAATTTCCGACCAAAATTTTTACATCGAGTTTTACATAGTTTCCTGCAGTTTTTGGTGTGCTGATCACGAAAATGACTTCCAATTTCATCCCAGACCTTTACTTTCCCCAAAATTTACCAATTTGTGACCAAACTTTTAAAATTGAGTTTCACATTGACCCTGTATTGGCCTTACTTTGCATATATTCTTCACCATCTTCTACAAGAATACAGACGCATCGCTCGCCTACTACGCGCCCAAACAAAACGGCGCGTACCCCTAGTTTAACAGGACTCAGACCAAACGTGTGACCCTGCCAATGGAGGGCAATCCATTGTTGGGGCCACACGTTCGGTTCAAGGGATTTTGGCCGCCTGCGCCGGGCTTCTGGTCCACTGTACACTTTGCCCGCTGGGTCACTGAGGCCCCAAAGGGCGACCTCTCGACAAGCCGTTACAATTACCGCACGAGCTTATCACGGCGACAGCCATAACCGTCAGGCGAATGGCCGCTATCTGTATGCACGCCAAACGAATGTGGGAAAACCCGGGTGGAAGGAACTGAAGTTCTAATTATATCTGGGAATTGCAACTTAACTATTTGTTAGACTGTACGCCACATACTTTCTGTTTATAAAGTAACTTAAGTTTTACTGTATTCAATAAGTGTAGCCTATTTGCAGACGAACAGCAGTCAGACTGCAGACTGACCGATGCAGTTTGACTGTAGTTCAACTGTAATTTAACTGGTGAAACTGCAGTCTAACTATAGTTAACTATAGTTGAACTGCAGTCTGTTTACAGGAAAACTGGTAGTTTTTTCGGACAGAGCAGTCTTGTCTGCAGTTTTAATCATGGTTTCATCTCGCCAGTATTACAGAAGCTTTAACTCGAGTTTTATATTGAAGTTAAAATTATTTTCGAGAAGTATTTTCTGAATTTTAGTCACAAGTGTGGATTTGGAAATCACGTTCAAATTTAGTTCTGCAAGCCCCCACTGCCGACCCTGGCCCTACTCCTCCCATGTCCTTTACGTGGTTGTTTGAAATGCTGTGCCATCTCCGCAATGAGAGTGGAACCCGGTTGAAGGCCGGGCGGGCAAGTCGGGTGGACCAGTCCATGCCACTCGACAAGTGCTGTCGGTATTGACTACAAATTGGAAGGAGCTAGTATTGACTAACATCGCCTTCATGCGTTACCACTGCATGTCACCGCAGACTGCCTAGTAAGGTAGGATAGTCTGAAGAACCGAGCGAATCATGCGTGGACCCAACCTAATTGTCGCCCGTAGACGCCATCGAGTGCTAACACGGAATTCCGTTTTTCTCCACTTCAGTGCAATATTCTGATTCAAATTTTTCTCTAACGTCTAAAGCAGATATTTACTGAAATGGCAGATGGTGTAACTTGCAAAAATAACTTAATTCACTAGCCTAAATACGAAATCCCGTTTGACAAACACTCACAGCGATCCAAGCGCCACCTAGCGGCAGGTCCTTGAAACCTGGCCTTGCAGCTCGGCGGCTGACAGTAGACCACATGGTGTGGTGGGATGAGGATTTTTCCACAGTTTGCGCACTACCCCGACGTCTAAGAATATCGCAAAAATTTTTTATGCTCAACGTTAAATTTTGGCTTCACCCCGCCATGCTTAATCTCAGAGAAGAAAAACCATATTGATCGACGTATGATCCTTCCCTTTCCCAGTCGTGTCGGTTTTCAATAGCCCCTTTCGCTCGTCGCCGAGTGAAGAAAAAAGTACTCTAAAAGCCCGGAACCAGTAGCGCGCCACCAAGCGGCCGTTATAGCGAACTGTCAAAAGCTGAACCCTGATTGGCCCAAACGTAGGTCCGAACGAAGTTCATGCATCGGCCGCTAGGTGGCGCGCTAGTAGTCCCTGCACTGTGATTACTTTTTTTCTTCAATCGCTTCCTCATTTCCCGACTGCATTGAAAAAGGGATACTATAAGTGTAAAATTTAAGCGTAAAGGTGTCTAGACAATAATCATGCAGATAAAATTACAGATAAAGCGTTGATATACTTGAGTCAAAAGTAGTATTTTAACACACTTTTGAAGTATTGTTTAACTGAGCAATGGTGAGTGTAACATAGCTGTAGATCAAGCTGAAGTTTCGACACTATTTAAGAACTGAACTCTTAACTGGAAAAAAACTGCAGTCAGACTACTATTACGAGTACCACCTGAACAGTACACAAACTTGTAAATAATTACAGAGTTTTTTCACACTTTGACTGCACTGAAGACCGCAGTTTGTGCACTGCAGTTTTTCACTGTAGTCGGTACTCAGTTAAAACTAGACTTCCTTCCACCCGGGAAAATCCCCTCGGAATGGAATGGACAGACCTATATTTTAATTTCCGGCCGGCGTTATTAGTGCGGCTGCAGGGCGAGCCACAGCGCCGCAGCCTACACCGCCAAGTCGGCAGGTCCAGGGCGGGCAGAACCCCGTATCTCCACGCGGGCCGCCCGGCACTTGCGGCCAGTCGGCGGCCAGCAGCCCGGGCCAGCCTCGAGCAAAACAAGAACACTCATCTAATCGTAATTATACGGCGTTGTCAACAAATGAGTAAGAGATTTGGTCGGCGTGTGGCTCCCACGAGAAAGGGCGGCATTCCCTCTCGTTCCGTTGTGTCCAGTTCGCCGCCATATCAAGTCATAAAAGCATTTTCGCGGCGCGTTCCCCCACCAGAAACAGGTGTAAAGACAAATGTGGCCACGGCCGCGGCTGCTCGGGCCGACTGGCTGGCCGTGCCGTTAGCCGGAATGCTCCCATGAGAAGTCGCTTCCTTTTCAAATGTCTTCAATGGCCAATAGAATCCACTTGCGCCTGCCCCCAAGGCCCCGCCGCCCCGCACCTCCTTTGTAGTGTCACCCGGACTAAAGGTCGGCCGACAGTGCTTGGCTTGCTTCGTGTGCAGCCTGCTAATAGTTACAAATTGCAGCGGGGCCGTCCTTAGTCCAAAGAGCAAGCGGCCGGTTGCCCCACAGCGGGAGGGAAATCCGAGAGGAGAGGAAATACAAATGAGGCCTCGGTTGTGCCCTTGATAGCGGCTGTCACGTCAAACTGATAGTACCTCCAACGACAGCCGAGGCTGGCGCGCGCGCAACACTGCTCTACAGTATCAGAAGCGAAGGGAACAAGTCCGAGACGGGACAGACAGGCCTCGACCTCCAGCAGGCCGGCAGCCAAGGACCGTCAGCAGCGAGACAAGCCGATAATGCAAGCGACATCACATTGGCCCGTCTGGAAGGCGAGAGAAAAGCGGTAACGGTTCACGCGGGGTTTGGCTCAGCGCTGCGCGGCCCTGCGCGGCCCTGCGCTACTTGGCGGCCTTTGTCTCGCCACAGAATGGAGGCGTCGCGACGCCTGGCCGCTGCGTGTTCCGCCCCTGTGCCTTTACGGTCCCCCCTCTCTCTAGGAATGCCGGCCAACGCACACACACAAACACCCGTTCCAAGTCAGGTCAGTAATGGCAAGGCAGTACAAGTACGAGTCCGGTAGTGACCACCTACCTGTCATCCTCCTCGACCAGGTGGTCCAGAAAATGAATCTTGAGCATGGTGGGCGCTCGGTCTATCCTGTGGCGAAGTTCACTGCACTGCACACACTTTGCACGCACTCGCGGGCTGAGCCGCGCGCCCACACTGTCTTGAGGTCACCGTTGGCTTCACGAGTGTCGTCGCGGCGCCGTCACGCCCGGCGTCCCCGTTAAGTCCATCACAGCTCGGCGACTTGGACCAGCTTGGACCGCAAGTAGGAACACGGTGGCCGCAACAGGTCCTTTGGCGGAAGGGCGTGGCGGTGTAGATAGCCTCGCACCGGGCGTGCGCACGAGGATGGCTTGCGAAAAGAGATGGTAGCGCTGATGCGGGGGAAGGAGGGGAGGGGGCGTCGAGGAAAAGCTTCGGGCCGGCACTGGTCGGCACGCCACGCGCTTCACCGGCGCAGTGTCAGTCTTGCCTCACGGCTTTCTTGTTATTGTTGTTGCCGGTATAGGGCGCTGTGTGCACTGCGTGGCACTGCGGCAAGCGTCATTGTCGGGCGTGCCGAGGACTGCAGGCACGAGGGCCGAACACAACACAGGACTTCCTCGGGGCGCCGCGGGGCCGCGCCGACGGGTCACTGAACTTGGTCTTCATGACACTCGTGCCACTCGTGCACCGAGGCTTGCACTGCCATTACGCGGGTAAGTGCCGCACGCACGCGGCCCCACACTTGACGTGCGGCACGCGACACGCCGCGACACGCCGCGATTGGCGGCGCGGCACGCGGCGCGCCTGGAGCAGGGCAAGGCCCGGCAAGGCCCGGCAAGGCCCGGCAAGGCCCGGCAAGGCCCGGCAAGGCCCGGCAAGGCCCGGCAAGGCCCGGCAAGGCCCGGCAAGGCCCGGCAAGGCCCGGCAAGGCCCGGCAAGGCCCGGCAAGGCCCGGCAAGGCCCGGCAAGGCCCGGCAAGGCCCGGCAAGGCCCGGCAAGGCCCGGCAAGGCCCGGCAAGGCCCGGCAAGGCCCGGCAAGGCCCGGCAAGGCCCGGCAAGGCCCGGCAAGGCCCGGCCACCTGGACGCGCGTTGACGTTCGCCGTTTCTTGCTGTGCTACTCGCGGTGCGTCCACGGCGTGGCTTGGAGCGTCGTCTGCAGCCTCCACTAGAAGAGCATGCCGTCGTCTGCAGGCCAGTCCAGATTATTGTCCTCTTGGTTGTCTTCCGCCCGCGGCGTTGGTCAAGTCACCAGCTTGGGGATGCCGCCTGAAGTCACTGACCTTGGCGCTCGCCTTGGCGCTCGCCTTGGCGCTCGCCTTGGCGCGGTCCCCAGGAGTCCACTGCGGCCACTCGCTGCGTCTTCCGCTGCAACCACTGGGGATCCACTTGCACGAGTCCGCGAGTCCGTCGCCGCCACTGTGCACTAGCTGGCCGGCACTGTGCGCTGTCATCGCCCTGGCGCCAATTGCAGCCCTGTGCGCACAGTGTGCGCCCCGGGGCGGTGCGGCCGGCGCGGCAGGGCGATCCTCGCGGAGAGCCGAACAGCGACTGGCGGGACGGGCTTGACTGACTAACTGGCTGCCGCTGGCGTGGCGCGGCGCGGCGCAGCGGGCCTAAGGCTCAAGGCGTGCCGCCGGCGTGCAGTGGGGCGCCGGCGCCTCAGGTGGGCCGGGCCCCGGGAGGGAGGGGCGGGGCGCGAGGAGGCGCGGCTCGGTACGGCACCCGACCGGAGGAAAACGCGTTCGAACTAATTTCCACGCGGCGTCGCTTCACGCCGCGGCGCGCCGCCCGAGTGCGATGTGATGAGCGCAGTGCAGTGGCGCCGGCAGTCGGCTCGGCAGCCTCGAGAAAGGGGACGGCGGCTGATTAGCGGCAGCCTCGCTTTATGTGTGCCGTTGCCGTCCAGGCCGTCCGGGCCGCTTCCGCTTTCCGCTTTCGGATTCCCGCGTCCCTGTGGCCGGCCAGCCTGGCGCGGGCGAGGCTCTCGTCGATACTGGCGGTCCGTCGAGGACCCACGAGGGTGTCGGGGTGTCCACGCCGGCCACTCCTCACGCACTTTATTGCAGCTCAGCTGGACCGCTCTAGTTGCTGCGGCGCGGACAATAAAGCGATCGATCACTCAGCCTATCGACTCTGGCTATGGAGACCCTCAACGGCGTCCGGCCAGCGGCGTCTTGCCGAAGGCCTCCGCGCTGAAGGCGTCCTCTTGCTGAAGGCGCGTCCTCTCGCTGAAGGCGTCCACTCGCTGAAGGCGTCCTCTTGCTGAAAGCGTCCTCTTGCTGAAGGCACGTCCTCTCGCTGAAGGCGTCCTTTTGCTGAAGGCGTCCTGTCACTGAAGGCGTCCTCTCGCTGATGGCGTCCTTTTGCTGAAGGCGTCCTGCCGCTGAAGGCGTCCTAAGGCGTCCTCCTTTCGAAGGTGTTCTAAGGCGTCCGCGCTGAAGGCGGCTCACAGGCGGCGCTTGGCTGCCTCCGTTCGTGCCGTCCGCGGCCCGTTCGTCCCGGAGGCCGTCAAACTCGCGCGTTGCGGGCCCGCCACGCTTCGCCAGGCCACACTCCGCCAGGCCACGCGGTTCGGCCGGCCCACATTCCAGCTGCTTCGCGTTCGCGCCGCGTCGCGGCGATCATTGACGGCGCACTTGGGTACGCGGCGCGCGGCGCGCGGTTCGGTCCGAACGCACTGAAATGTGTCACACTCTTGGCACAACACGGCGCGGCGTGTCCGAGGCGTGTCCGACGCATCCAGGTCAGGACGGCGACGACGGGACGCCGTTACTCGTCATGCAGCACAACAACGACGACGTCACTGGCACACTGGGCGTCCGCCGCCTGTTGCTCGCTGCGGAGGGGCACCCCGCCCTGCCCTCGGCCCTGCCTCCCCGCGATCGAGTCCCCGCGGCCAGGCAGGCGGCCAGGGCCTCCCACCCACGGCCGGCCGGGCGATCGACGCGACGCGGGAGCAGGGACCCCAGTAAGTGGTCCAGCCTGGCTTATCACTCCCACTGGGAGTCGCAGTGGCGCGCCGTCCTGGCGACCCGGCCTCCAATTCCGGAGAAACGCCACCGAGCGTCTAAATGGAGTGGGGCGGCGCGGTGGCGGGGGGCCTGATGAGGACCAGACCGGCCGATGGAAGCGGGGACTGACAGAATGCACGCAGCGGCCAATTGCACGCATATAACTCTCAATGAAAGCAACGGACAAAGCGCAGCCGCCGAGGGGCCTTTCGCTGCCGTCGGAACGCATCGACAAGACAGAAATACGAATGGCAACCTCCGCGGTTTACTCGCCTTGAAGCAACCAATACAAGCGTTTTGGAACACGGGATGCCTATGGATCAGAAACTTGCTGACGGTGGCAGACGAAAACTTGAGGTGCAGTACGACGCAGTCCAAAAACAAAAGCAAACTTTTCAGAAAATAGCTTTGCCCTCGCGCCTGGAGGGCAGGCAATCCCGGACGCAGCGGTGTCTGACGGGACGGCCTACCCCAGTGGTTCTCAACCTTAGGGTCGCAACCCCAAGCGGGGTCGCGAAATTTTTTTAAGGGGTCGCGGCGATGCTGGGGTCGTGTTTTAGGCCGATTTTAAGCAGCCAATGCGTCTGATCCGAGGCGGGCATTTTGCTCCCTCAACGGGCAATCGGTCTTTGGACCTTCCTTTAGCATGCCTTTGTTACGGAGTGCAATTATCAGTCTTAGTTTGGGAGCAGTATTGTCTCAAAGTTGGCCGAAACGCTCAGAAATGTCTATGAAAAATCGTGTTTTGGGCCGATTTTAAGCAGCCACTGCGTCTGATCCGAGGCGGGCATTTTGCTCCCTCAACGGGCAATTGGTCTTTGGACCTTCCTTTAGCATGCCTTTGTTACGGAGTGCGATTATCAGTCTTAGTATGGGAGCAGTATTGTCTCAAAGTCGATCAAAACGATCGCAAGTGTCTTTGAAAAATCGTTGTGACTATTTTGGTCAACTTTGAGACAATACTGCTCCCAAACTAAGACTGATAATCGCACTCCGTAACAAAGGCATGCTAAAGGAAGGTCCAAAGACCAATTGCCCGTTGAGGGAGCAAAATGCCCGCCTCGGATCAGACGCAGTGGCTGCTTAAAATCGGCCCAAAACACGATTTTTCATAGACATTTCTGAGCGTTTCGGCCAACTTTGAGACAATACTGCTCTCAAACTAAGAGTGATAATTGCACTCCGTAACAAAGGCATGCTAAAGGAAGGTCCGAAGACCAACTGCCTGTTGAGGGAGCAAAATGCCCGCCTCGGATCAGACGCAGTGGCTGCTTAAAATCGGCCCAAAACACGATTTTTCATAGACATTTCTGAGCGTTTCGGCCAACTTTGAGACAATACTGCTCTCAAACTAAGAGTGATAATTGCACTCCGTAACAAAGGCATGCTAAAGGAAGGTCCGAAGACCAACTGCCCGTTGAGGGAGCAAAATGCCCGCCTCGGATCAGACGCAGTGGCTGCTTAAAATGGGCCCAAAACACGATTTTTCAAAGACACTGCTGACCGTTTCGGCCAACTTTGAGACAATACTGCTCCCAAACTAAGACTGATAATCGCACTCCGTAACAAAGGCATGCTAAAGGAAGGTCCAAAGACCAACTTCCCGTTGAGGGAGCAAAATGCCCGCCTCGGATCAGACGCTGTGGCTGCTTAAAATCAGCCCACAACACGATTTTTCATAGACATTTCTGAGCGTTTTGGTCAACTTTGAGACAATACTGCTCCCAAACTAAGACTGATAATTGCACTCCGTAACAAAGGCATGCTAAAGGAAGGTCCAAAGACCAGTTGCCCGTTGAGGGAGCAAAATGCCCGCCTCGGATCAGACACCGTGGCATGTTAAAGGAGGGGTCCCGTGGGGTCGCGAAATTTTTCCTGGGGGTCGCGGAAATTTTTGGCTTCAAATTTGGGGTCGCGAGCCGAGAAAGGTTGAGAACCGCTGGCCTACCCTCCATCCGTAAGGGGCACTGGCGCCTGGTGGGCGGGCAGTCCCGGACGCAGCCCTGTCAGGCGGGACAGTCCAACGCGCACGGCGTCCGTGGCCACCCTGTGACCACACCGAGCCGGCTCGTGCGTTTTACGGCCCCAAACTAACGGAAGCTTATCGCAGACAAACATTTGTCGTCCCTTTTCCCTCGTTTGTCTTTTTCCCCGAAGAAATCTTCGGAGTGCGTGCCACGCCGGCCGCGCCACGGGCGGCGCCTCGCTGACAAGCGACACATGGACAAGTACGGCCTCAGCGGCCGCCGGGGTACAAACAAATATAAGTGAATAAGCTCCATTTAGCAATATCGCGCCAAAAGTCGGAAGCGTGAAGCACGAGTCACCCTCAGATCAACTGAACACCAGTTTTCCTCTCTTTTTTTCCCGGTTCGGGACAACAACGCCCCGTGCGGTGGACGGGTTCCAAATACAGACAGATTCCCGGAGAAAAGCGAGAACTCCCTTTTTTCATTCGGGCATGACGTATTTCCTGGTCATTTTCCTCGGTGCGGCA